TTCAGATTTTGGTGGTATCAGAGTGTGATATGTTAAGTTCCGAGCCTTGTGCACTTGTGGGACCCGTCTCACGAGTGCACGGCGTCTGTTGCGCCCCGAATTTGGGTTCTGGGGCGTGACAGATTTAGTGGTATCAGAGCTTAGGTTGAAATTAAGAGCTTAGGTTTAAATTAAGAGTTTAAGATTAAATTAAGCACCTCCAAATTGAGTGGCATTAGAGCAGATTGAGTGATATCGAGCCTAGGTTTAATTAAATACCTAAGATTTGTTTTGGACTTGGCTAGCTAATGGATTTTAGAACCGTGGTGAGACGAGTGATGGGGTAAATAAGGAACGATTCTGATTCGTGTTGTCTGAATATTCTAATCCATTCTGATGAGATGGATATCTGATTGTTCTTGTTTCTTGCCTTCATACTCTGTGTGAAGTTGTGAAAGTAATCTTGCCCGTTATGTTCTTAAGACCTTGTTTTGAAACTTGGTCATTTTCTTATAGTCCGCACTTGTTTAGGCTTGTTACGTGAATAGAATTTTTGTGTGCTCTTTTGCCACAATTGTGAAATCTGGGGAGTTGCAGAGACTTTTGTTATTGATCCTGTTAGTCTCTACAGCATAGCTGGTGGAGAATTTGTTCTGTTTGTCACATGACCAGTGGAGGAATGGGCAACCCTCTACTTTGCAAGAGATTCAAGGCTATTTTAGCAAATGTTGTGTGTTTTTTTGATGCGTTTTAGGAGCTGGATTACTTGGTAATTCCGTTGCTCCTTATCTTCTGAAAGTGCTATAGTGAAATTTCACTTTTTCCACTTGAAGCTTCATGGTCTTTTCATGTGGCTCATTTTTCTGTATTGGTTAATCAAGAGCAGTGATTATTCAATTGAAATTGTTGTCTTTTTGTGAAGATTGGCAAGTTGTCATAAAGTTAAACCTTCTATTGTTGCTGATCTTTACATTCTTGATACCTGGAACTGCTTGAAACTCTTGAAATCCATCTTGAATCTTTCTTGATATTGCTTGTGCTTGTTCTTGAAACAGAAATCCAGAAATGGATAATGATTATTGGAATCCTCATTATCTTGATACTTGTTTGAAATTGATTCTTGCACTGTTCTTGGAATCTTATCTCGAACCTTGCCTGGAGTAAAGTCGTGTTAGCATTTATTCTTGAAAATCAATTGATATTTGGTTTTTGGAATCTATTTTGAATTGTCCTTGAAAATGTTCTTGTTCTGACACTGGCTCTTGTTCAAATTCGGTATACTGCTCTTGCTCAAATTCTGCATGTTCTGCTAGTTCTTGTTTCAGTATACCTGTTGATCTTCTTGATTTTTGATTTTGTTCATATGGACACCTCTTAGGAGGGGTGACGAGATACCTATATGAGGTATTCTAAATTCTTGTCTCTTGCAAGTGTTAAATTCTGTATTCTGGATGTCATCGCTTTGACTTGACTCTAGGATGTCTAAGATGACTTGATTGTAAATCTGCTTAGCCTCGCCTCCATGAGCTACGAGGTAAAGGGGTAGTCCTTGAAAAACTTGATGCCCTAGAGTTTTGTTCCAAGTGAAATGGTTCTTTGATCTGGTTGCTTGGATTTTTGTTTGCCCTTTTAATTGGAAGACATGAATCTTCTAAGCATCTTGATCCCAGTCATTGCTTTGTTCTGTTAATTAATTCGTGTTACTTGGGGTGTTAAATCTTGACATCTTGGTTATATCTGCTTTTGAATCCATGTTCTGATTGTCATGATTGAAATCTCTTTTGTGGGCCTAATTTTTTGGAATTCTATTGCTTGTTTCATGGTTAACTTTTGTCTCTCAATTTTGATTGCTTGGTTAAATTTGATCTTGACTCTAGGTGAATGCCATTTTGTTGCTGAATTCTTTGAGGCATTCTACCTTGCACTCTTGTGTTCCAGTATTCTTCCAAGCATTCATATTTTCCATTGATTTTATTCTATTGCAATTCTTGACATTCTTACATGTCTTTGGATGGTCCTAGCTTTTAACTCTTGTTAATTGCTAAAATCTGTTTCTTGATTCCAATTGCTTTGTTAAATATGACCTTGCCTATTGGTTAATCTTGTTTTGTGGCAAAATGTATAAGGCATCCATGCACTCGTTCATTCATACATGATCCATATATCCATTGGATGCTTATCCATCTTTGATAGAATTGAAATTTTGTTGTAATTGTCTTTAAATCCATGCCATTCTTTGCTAACTCGTCTTGTGTTGGGTTCAAAGCGTAACCCCACAATTGTTCTTTTGTGGCTTTGGCAGGATTTATTTTATTCCTTGTGCTTCCCGTATCACCCCAGCCTCTAGTAGCTCATTTCATGGTAAATCCTATTAAGTAGTTAATGTTCTGCTTTTAGGATTAGTTGTGATTTGATGTCAGAGTGGCGCAGCGGAAGCGTAGTAGGTTATGTTCTGTTCATAGAAAGAGTTAGTGGAGCATTTGTTTTGCCTTGGATTGGGTGAAGCCATTCACCAGTCTAGATGGTCCTCAATTTGAGTTTTGGGGACAAAACTCCTTTTTAGGAGGGGTGGATGTAATACCCCAAAATTTTGTGCTATTTTAGCATTTAAGTAGGGGTTTTTGTGTGAGAAAATATTGTTTTGGGCTTGATAGCCAAAAGTTTGAAAGTTGAGGGACTTAAAGAGGGAAGAGTTTTGGATAAGGATGAG